TATATATATATATATATATATATATATATATATATATATATATTAGTTAACATACATCATAGTTAACACTCATAGATAATCTTAGCAGGGAAACCGAGGTCGCACAAAAAGATTTGAAAAACAAACACACTGATTTACCCACTCATGGCTTGCTAAAGTTTTACTTAACACAATCAATTACAGCATTTTAGTTCAAAGGTATGGGATGACAGTCGTTTCATCATTAACTTTTAGACCATAGAACACAAAAATTTTATTGAACCAAAAACCAAATAATGCAAATTAAGTATTTTTAGATGGATGGAATAGATTCAATAACATCAAAGGCTTTGCAAAAACGAAGTATAAATGGGAGGCCTAAATGGCGCAATTCGACTTTCTGGTATCATGTAGGCAAATCATGTAAAAGATATGTCGTGATAAGTATTTTAAATTTAGAAGCGTATTAAGCTAGTTTCTTAAAATATACAACATAAAAGCTTATTTTAAAACAAGTAATCGTTGCCAGTAAAAATTGACGAGTTATGCTGGTGAGTTCATAAAAAGTAGAAAATAAAAGAACTTTCTTATGACCAGTTGAACAGCAAAGAGATAAACAAATAAAGTTAAAGCAATAGTAGTCCCAGAATATGAGAGACAGAAAACTGACGCTAAAAACTATTGCCAACATAAAAATTTCTAATTACTGACTTCGACCAAACCAATTTCTCAATCATATTACAAACCAATGCAATTAATTGCGTAACAAAGGCTATACCTACAAAAAAAATTAACATTTATTAAAGTGTCAAAAGTTTCGCTTTGGGCAGGTTTGTGAGGTCATTTACACGATTAAAATAACTTGACAAATATTTGCATTAATACACTCTCGATTTTGATCATATAAACACATTGTGTTTATCCTTACCTGGTAAAGACGCATTCCAGAAGAAGATAGCACTTTCTGTGACGATATTAATGTGCAACCACTGAAAGGCGTTCAGCATCGACACACTTGCAAACAAAAAGAGCATTAACCATCGCTTTTTCACAAGAACAGGTTCAAAATCGTCGATTTCTTTTTGCTTAACTTGTTCATGTGTAGACACCTCAGAGTCCATTTTGTATTGCCTTACGCTGAAACAGTACCGTCACTGCACAGCACCCCCGAGCCAGTGTCACAAATTCCCGCGCGTACCGCCCTTAAACACCAAAGAGTTCATTTAATCAACAGTTAAAACAATTTTAAAAACCTTGAAATTACATTGAGAATGTCTTACAAATAATTTAAAAAGCCTGAAAAAAGTAAAAAAAACAATGTATTAATTGTAAGATATTATTTAATTTAACCTTTTTTCATGTTTTATTGAAAACTTTGCAGATTAATACCCAAAAAACAAAGCAAATTTGTATTTTTGACGCTGTATTAAAACCCAGCCATCTCATGCGTGTGTACTTGCGTGCAAATATCTAAATGTTTATACAGATTCTATTCCCGTATTGATTTTATTATTTGCAAAATTTCGAAATGTTCGTGAAATTTTTTTTAATGATTCTGTTTATACACTAAATTCGACTCTTAAAAACACTGGTCTATAAAACCACAAACATTCGAACTTGCTCACAATATACTGCATTCGTTTAGCAATATATATCGACATAGTGATTCAATTCGTTTGAAAATATCTGCTCGCAAGCATTTTCCAGACCGAATCGTCATATATTGATACACAACTACTAAGATTGACTCGAATTCAAATTAAAACTAGGTTTTCTTTAATAAATGTAAGGATATGGTTAAAAGTCATGGTTTAAACATATTCCTCACTAAAATGTAAATAAATTATCCAACATACCAGTACGTAAAGACAAAATTTGCAAAATCAGTGACGAATAAATCATTTGCTCATGTTCAAGTGTGTATGAAATCTTTGTCCTATTTAGCGATATTTTTCTTTAAGTAATATTTTTACTATCGTTAGTGACTTTCCAGTTGAATCACAATTTTTAAGCAGTTCAATTAAATCCACTTCTAATGAATTACTTAGATTAAATATTTTAATTTCTTTTTAAGCAAACCTGATGTTTGTATTTTTGTAAGCAACCCATAAGCATACGTCAGATCATTCGGAATCTATTGTTTACACGGGGAGCATGAAATTGTGTCTGAGCGAAATATAAATATTGATACAGAATAACTTATAAGCAGTTTTTGATCTTAGAAATTTTCTGAAAACCATTTAGTGCAAATTTGTTGCATGCAACCTATTTTCTTCCATTTATAATTACTAAAATGGTCTTTCTTAATCTTGCCTATTTCAACGTAAAGTAAAATATTGACACCTGTTTTGCCTGGTCTCGTAAAGCAAAGCGCCACAGTGTCACCAAACTAAACAATCATCTTGCACACAGCATTTTAAGATGTAGCGACAAATTATTTTTCGTCAGGCCTATTTTAAACAACAGACAGCATTTCTGACCATCTAATCTTATTTGAGTTGCATTCATATTTAAATGACCTCGACATCATTCTTGCTTTTTAAAAAGAAGTGTCAAATGGCAAGCTTATTAGGGGGGTTGGCTATTAAGGACACTTCAAACGCGATAAAGCTGTTTAAAACTCGTCCGACGTCACTCAAAACAGCCGCCCTTTTCTGTCTTCTGTAATGGACGACCAAAATAGCGTTTGCCAGGTGATGGTGTTAGTTCTTCTTCAAGCTTCTTGACCGAGTACCATTCTCTTGGGACTTTTGCATAGCATTTTTCAACTAAAATATAAACATACTCAATATATTGCTGGTATCTTGAATCCGAAAATAAAACAAGGCTACTACTCACATCTTCGAGTAGTATGCTTGCGAAAAATTCCTCTGGGCCTCCAGTCACACTTGCAACGTAGGACTCCAAGTCCTCATCCTTGTCTATGGATCGAAATTCCTCTGGAATCTATTTGAATGGTAAACTGTGGTGCCGTCTAACCTCAATTGTGTGTCCGACGATATGCTCCACTTGCCTCTGCACAATCGCCAGCACCTGGGATCCGGTTGGTTGTTTGCGTGGGAGGTCGAGCGTTACGTTGTATTCTGTAGGGTACGAAATTACCCCTAATTAATTTCATTATTGGATATCCCCGCATGATGTAGATATCGACACGTGATTAGTGGCCTTTGATCGATGTCCATTGGCGGAATTGAGACGGTGTTAGTTAATTCGTGTACGAATAAATTTTGTGAAAGCTTATAAAGTTGTAATGAATCAAGCTATTGGTATCGATTTTTAACAAGTAAATCGATCCATGGATGTTTCAAAAAAGAGTCAATCGTCATTTATTGAACTTACGAAACACACCTGATAGTGACTACCGCATTAAATCAACGTCGCTTTCATGAAGCTCTCCTGTAACTTGACCAAGCCAGTACGAGTTAACAATCTACCTCCCCTCTCACTGAAATCTATTATTTTGAGGATATGTCTCTGGTCCAACGAATGTTCAGCTTTAATTGATAACTGTTTTAACTAAAAGCACTTTCCGTGTTTAAATCCACAGTTTACCAATTCGAGAATTTTGTCCCTGAAGTGGACCAGCGTTTACCGTAATTTGTTTGAATTAATAGGTGGATCAATCCTGGAAGTGGATAACTAGTGGTTTGCTGTGTTCTGACTGCAGAATAACAATATCGAAACCATGGAAACGAAGGTCCCGTTGGCATTTTGTAATTGCCAGTTTCACTGTTAGCCAATCACAGCACACCTGGTGCGATGGATAGGAAAAATCGCATTAATAAAATAAAATGCTCTTCTTGTACTTATCAGTTGGGTTAGTTACTCAACCAATTAGATTTAACCAAAATTCTAACGAATTTGTCAACGCTCAACCACGATAGAGTTAAACTCTATTGTCCCTGAATTTAGGAATTGAAACGTTATTAGCGCACCTACTCAACAAGTGTTTGGTTGTGGCTTTTCCTGGCACCTTTTAGGTTTTAAAAATTGTCGTCGTATTTGCACAAACATGAATGTAACTTCAATAGTGAGTACTATGATCTGCAGCACCTGACATGTTGGCATTGAGGCGATAAATTTGTCCCGCCTGCTTTAAATTGGAGCGCGTTAGATCAATTTAAACAAGAGGGCAATCATTTAGTTCAGTCAAGGCCAGAAATATCTGCTGTCTACACAGATGAAGCGATTAAATTTTTCTCATCATTCGGCAAGATTAGGCTCTAGAGAACCATACGAGCATGCGTAACAACAGTTCGCAGCAATTTGATTGGCTAATCCAAGTGAGTTTAAACAAAACTCACTTTCCTCGGTTATGCAAAGCATCTTGAGGAGTTGTGTGAGGGCCTCACGGGTTTGTTGCAGGAATCGTGCAGTGGTGGCTTCAACTGAAAGTGAAATTAAGAATCACGGTTCATTTTGCAGTTGGCATAAGAAAATGTACAAGCAGACAAGGCCGACTCCTATCCTAACAGCTGATTGATTCGCATTCACAGTTAATGCACGCCAATGAACGAACTTTTAACACCATCCGAAGGAAATATATTTTCTTGGGACATTTGGGCTGGATTGGAAGAGTCTGTAATGTGGGTTTAGGTCATGTGGATTTGTACAGATCCTGAAAACAATTTATAAGGGCGAGATTTCAGTTAGGCGTTGTATTTTTCGCATGGTTCCCACTAACCAATCAGAAGGCACGGTGGCCTACCAATCATTGGAGCGAGTATCCCACGCCGATGCCACCCACGTGGTGGCATTCACCCTCGCGCCTTGACTTAACAAGGAAGTGGGTAGAGCCATTCAGCGAGAAGATTTGCCGTAACGCATGAAGGCAATGAAATTTAAGCTGAGTTGGGGCCCCAAATAACCGCATTTATCGAGAAAACAGGTTTGTAGATCAGGTGCTATCAATTAGCGGATCATTGGGATCATTTTTAGAGTCCACCAAACAAAATCGTCTATTTTGAATAGAAACACGCCCACAGATGTCACCAAGCGTGCAATGATTGCCACCACAATGACGGATTTATCGATTATACAAAACCAGTTTTTCACTCGAGGGGTGACTTAACTAGTCACTCATGGGCGTCGACACCTCAAGACAATGCTCTGTTAATGTCGACTGGTGTTAAAATTACGCACAGATTCCCTAACAGCTAAAAGGCTCACTCTACTTTCGTAACTCCACAGGTCATTAAAAACTGTCGAGTGAAATAAATCCATCAAACAGCCAAGACAACTGATAGAGCACTGGGCCAGCAACCAAGGATACTGAAACTGTGTTCGATTTCCGCATTTCCGGAACAGATTCTATACTACACTTGGAAATGACTTGTTTTCGGTAGTCAAGTTTATGTTAATCGATTCGACAAATGCTTTGAACGACACATCTGTACAGCTTGCGGAATTATTGATTTCAATGACTCATCCTTATTTTTCATTGGTTGCTGTAAGCAGGCGCTGGTTACGCGCGCGCACTCATTCCCACACAAAGACACACTTGGCTGGCTTGACGCTGATAAATGATCACGTTCGTTGTCGTCACCCTATTCGCTGCAAGTTTCAAGCTTTTTGGGTTAATTAAAAGGGGAGGAATATAAAAAAAATTACTTTCAACTTCGTTGATCTTTGAATCGCCGACTTGGGCGTTTGCTCGGACCTTCAGTAGATCGGCTAGAGCGGAGCTTTTAATTCCTTTGTACTTTTTGTGGAACAGTCTGATCTGCTCGTTTTGGATCTTCTGCATCACCTCCGGTGTGATAAATTCCCCTAAAAATTCACATTTAAACTAACCAATCAGCTAGATTCTTGTTGCCACACAAATGGCGGCCACGGAAGCTAGGCAAGTGGTTTAAACAAATGACTGGAGCACCTTGAATTACTTGGATGTCACTCGACCTGCAGATTTCATTTTAATTTGTGAAACATTTGTGCCTTGAATTAGTGGGACACCCGACCTACCGTTGACGTAGGTCCTTCGATTAGGACCAAGATATCTTGTAATTGTGTCGTACATTTGTTCATCTGTCAAATCGTTCAGGCCTAAAATTTGGGAAAAAATATATTCATTCAACACCAGGCCCGGAAAGCGGGGGTTTGCACTAATCCTAGGGCTGCTAGCGTAGCTAAAGCTTCGCTGTGCCGCGGCAAGCCAATCGTTGTAACGCGCCACTTTCAAAAACCCTCTTTTTCTTCACTTAGCTTATATTTGACCACACACAAACACACACACGCACACCAACATCACTTAACTCTCTGGTTACTGGCTGCTAGGCTAATTGAGTAACAGTGAATAAGAAATTCGTGGCTGGTACTTTGCGGTGAGACTAATTGAACTAAACTTTAAAAATGGTATTATTTGTGGAGGTCACCTGGAAGATTGTCCCTGAAGAGGCTCTTCACTATGGCATCCGAGGCGCACCCGCTGGATTGTTTTGATGTGTTGCTGTAGAACCACTGACAGACCATGGCTTTGTAGAAGCTAAATCAAACATACCGGTGGGTTTGTTCAAATCTTCATCAAAAATTTTAAAAAAATACCTGGCTCGTTGTAGATTGGTAAGTCAAACACCCGAGTGCCACTTCAACCCACCGACTGTTCAATCTTTACGAGCGCGAATTCACAGTCATGTGTCCGCGTGTGGTTTGCTTGCTGTTTGTGTTTTAATGAAGTCAGTTGTGTTACATTTAAACGCTTCAGCCATTGTTGCAAGTTCAAATGGAGGGGGTTGTTCGGATCGGTAAATTGCAATCTAAATAATGGTGGTTCAGAATGTGTGCAAAATTACCAGCGCTGAAGTGAAGTGATCTTCAACTTTTGCCGAACGTGTGGCAGTAATATGGTCGTCTGTGTTGGTTTTTGTGCTGTTAGGGACAAGGTTGCCTTTGTCCCCGAACACATATTTGACTCGTTGGAAAAGACTGCATGTAAAACATGGCAATGCCAACACAGGTGCTGCATTCTAAGATTGGTGATGTCGTTTTTTAAAGAACGCCGGCCAATCAATTGTTAACGGTCGGAAGCAGGCGCGACGTTCGCGAGCATTCCTCTGCGGCGCGACACGCGTAACGCGCTGGTTGGACGACGCACTTGGCTGCACGAACGCACGCACGCACGCGTGCCTTGAAAATGACTCATTATCGAGGCAACGCGTGCATCTACGACATTTAAGCGACAGTCGCTACAACCTGCAAGTACATTGCTACGAGTTCGTCATAGACTATCTGCGAAAACCACTGGTTCTTCAACAACAGGGGGACGCGTTAAAACAGCCCACCTCTGCGCACAATGGGGAACATTGTTGACCGTACAAAAAGTGCAGAACCGGCCGTCACTCGTGGAAAATTTGAGGTTTGTATAGGCGAGAGAATTTGCCAGTGGTTGCAGTCGATTATCGATTAATGGGCGCACCGTCATTGCATGAACTTACACATCACGTGAGCAGATGCTGCAGAGAAGGTCCTCTGAGTAGACCTTTGAGCATCGCTTGCAGACGTCCCGTTTGCAGAGGTCACAAGTCACTCGGGGATTGATTAGCATCAGGAATTGGCTGGAACAGATGGTGCAGTTGCGCGCTGCCCCTGGCAACGAAAGAGGCGCCTTACTGTCCTCAAGAAGCAGCCCTCGACGTATTTTCCTTTGAATTTAAAGGACAATTTGTTAGTATTCCCTGTGATGATGATGATGATTGGTGGATTATGAAGAGACTTGATGGAAGCATTCAACTGTAGTTCACACTCTAACTGGAGAAAATCAATACTAATCGATAATAGGTAAAATGATGCAGCCTTTGGCACAAAGGCTACTCAGTTACACGAAATCTAAGCTCTCCAACAATGCTTGTTTAAATTTATCTTCAAGGACACAAATGTGTATTCAAAAAAGTACTTTGCCGGAGAATGTTTGGAAGGTAAGCGTGAAACCCACTTCAGTCTCTGTTTCTCCATACAACGCAACTCAAGATCCCTCTTGACGACCGACAAGATTAATCTTCGTTCCTCCTCACTGAAGGGACTCAGATTGACCTCAAACGGAGGTGGTTCTGACGCCCGACGACTTCGCCGCGATACGGTGTCTTGGACAGCTGTGCGTCCGCTTCTCTGAGAGCTGATGCTTCGTCCCATTGAATAAAATGGCCGCGAGGTCGTCTGTGAAATGTAGGTTTTGAGTTGTCAAGTCATGGTAAAGCGAATCGACATAGCTTTTATTTCCGTGGGTCTAAATACTTAGCTTAACTTCTTTCTAGCTTAATTGATTTTCACTAACAAGCTTGTGAGATCATGAAATCCGGCATGTACCGCCCAGTGTGATTCATTTTCTAAATACTAAGCAATTCATTGACAGTGTTTCCGATAAAATGATCAAAATCTTGGTTTATGTTACAAATTTCCCACTCATTCTCTCATCCTTACCACCAAACTCCAATTAGTTACTGATTTGATTTTACTAAAAACTACGAAATTGTTCGATTCGTGAGCATCAAACAACCCATGCTTGAGGGCGCAGCCACTGGTTGGTTGCTATAACCACCAATGAGCGAATCCGATTTTTTCCTAAATGTCCAAGCCTGAAGCCTTGTTTTTATTGGTCAGGAGATTTAGGCGGCCCGTCATTGGTTGAGCCGCGTTTGTTTGATGACGCATTTGACTTGACAGAGGGCTAACGTATCAGTGCAGCAGGTAATGCGGCAGCGGGAAATTTGACGACATGAAACTGGCAAAAATCACATGTTCGTGCCATAAAACGCGCAGTGATGCAAGGGAGCCGTGTTTCTGACTGCATTTATGAGGTCACGCCCTTGTGCCAGGAACTGCTAACGTTTTCATCAAAATGAACAAGTTGAAATCACTTGACGTTAACATGTAGGCACAAAACACACATACACTATCTTTTTCTGCTCGCAAATACACCTTCATCAAGACGAAGAACATTAAATGAAGAAATTATAAGAGAAGGTTTCTCCGAGAATAGGTAAAGCGGTAAATTAATGGCTACAAGCATGCAGATTTTGCTCATAAGCCCTTCTCGTCAAAAATCGATGTTGACGCGGATTTTGGTCCCCATATTTAAAGGCTCTGACTCTATTTTGCACTTTCCTTTTGAAAACATTCTAATCCACATTAAGCCCTGAGCAAAGGTTAAGGAAGAGGTGCTTTTAATTTCAGATTTAAGCTCAAGTGTTGTTTAAAAAAATACTAGTAACAGAGGGACGAACCGTTTTAGAATTCATTTTCGCGGTATCCTGTGCTAAGCAAACCTTTGTTAACTTCTCAGAACAGCCGTAAATAAGTAATGCTTTGATTCAACCACCTAGCCAATCATTTACTTGCGAAGTGTGTGCACACACAAGAATGCACTCACACAGAGAACAAACCATTTTTTTGCTTCAAAAACAGAAATTCAGTTCAAACAGTCCGCGAAAGTAGCAATAGCGTGCAAAATTACTGGGAAACTTACAACGCATGTTTGTTGACTTTCATTAACCACGAAAACATGTCAGGTGCTTAAAGATGCAAAATAATGCACTTGTTTGAGTAAACATTATTGAATTGTCTTACAAACATCCTGCAGCGACATCGTCAAATATTTGCTACGTTTTACATTTTTCCGCCATAAATAGTTGGTAGGGCCCTTGGTTTCGATATGCACCTTTTGACACATAAGCACCGTAAATTTGACTGTGTTATTATTGATTAATTCGTTGTTTAAATTTTGATTTCTGTTGAGCGCAACATACAATTTGCTCTTCGGATGAGCAAAATGCAGGTGCCCCCCAATGTGGATTAGTATCGATAATTTTTATCATTTGCTGTTAACATTGTTTTTTATCGTAATAGTAACTATTATTTCTTCCGTACTTATGCATTTCTCAGCGTTTCAGATGGTCACTTATTCCTCATATTATCGGTGCATTTTTGCATGTGCTATTACGTGAAATATTATGTCTGGGCTTCAGAGGCACATGCTGAGTTTGAAGCAACCTTCCAAGGAGCCATTTTTGAAAAAAAGATTAAGGAAGGCAGTCTACTGAAACCCAGAAAAAGTAAATATTCGTGTGTATAAAAGAAAATTAGTGGCATACCATAAGAATTAACAGCAGCCCTTCATATCAATGGCCAAAAATCTTGTTAATAACCGTCCATCATCCATCATATTTCCTGATGCGGCCTAAGTTTACGTAATGAAGATAATGCAGCTGTTAAAATGATTTTTCATGCGCATCCTGATTAAAATGTGGTGATATATGTTGAGTGAAATGGAAAATCGCAATTGATGTCTTGGGGGTGTTGCATATTTCACATGAAAAACAGCATCAATATCAGGCAAAATTCAAGAGGTGAAATCGATTCTAAAAGATTCATAACAGGGAGTCAATGTAAATGTTATTCGTGGATAAAACAGGAACAAAAAAACTAGAGAATTGAGCCTAAACATTATTAAAATGCAGCATAGATTAAAACGAATAATTAACATCATTGCTGCTGGAACCCAACTACATTAAACCAGGTATACTCTTGCTTACCGGCTAGTTGGTTTGAAAAAAAAACACAGCACTCAACTTTTCTATATTTATCCAAAACGAGGGCTTGTACAGCATACTTTAATGAGTTAAAATTAATTTGATTGTTACATTTTGATATTACAGAGATCAGTTTTATTAACAATCATACCGAAGCAATTTTGCCAGTACGAAAGAAACAAAGTTAAACTTACTCGTTTGACAACTTCCGTGGAAAGGATATTTCACTAAATGGATTTAAAAATATACTTCAACTCATCGAAAAACGTAAACATGAAGTAGCAGAATTAAACTGATTCGAATAAAAACTAGTACCAACAAGCTAACTTATTAGAGTATTATCTATTCTAGTAAACACGGAAAAGCCAGTATTACGTTATTTATTTCTACAAATTTTTATAATTTCAGTATGGTTTAAAAAGATTTTACAAAAGTTAAAACACCGAATTCCTTTGACCTTACACTGTTATTTTTTGTTTTTCATCAAAAATCTTAAAACTAGACCCTACTTCAAGCTCTTTAGAAACTTTTCAGTCAACAAGTTGTTTTAATGGACTTAAATTCTGGAACGTTGTGTAAAATCTCGATCTTTCGTGTTGTGGTGGTTTGTAAATCGATAAAATTTAATAGCAAGAAGTGCTTTTTATCGACATGTTTTGTCATTGTTGGGCTTAATTGAAATTCTCTTGCACATTTTTAAGTGTAACTAACAATGGTGTCACCGCGCGGTTAATAGTTTAGTACTTCCGCGTCTATTTATGCAATTCCTCTTTTTCATCTAGCATACTCGTATCCTGCCACAGACACTAAGTTGGCATTGTTGTGGCGTGTGTGATGGTCATTGGCTTGTTGTGCCCTTTTAAGATTCCTGGTTTGTTATTTTATAACCGCCTAATTTGGCAGTACCAAGCACTTCAGCTTTATTATCTTGAAAATACTTTACTACTATCTTGCGTACGCTTATATTTATGCACAGTATTCAATAAATAACATTTGCCTAATTTTTCTAATCCTGTTATTTTGCTATTTATGAGTCCTAAGGTTTCCATCCTCTTTGTTATTGTTCCTTCTAATTGTCTTCGTGGTTATATTCTTGTAATTAAACAAAATTCTGCCTTTATGTGCACAGCTCTATTGCGGCCTAGTTTTACTAATATTTTGATTATCAAGTCTGGTATCATTCTATAATCTTGCGCAATACGTGCTTATCCTGAAAAACGAGTCCTTCCCATGTTTGATCAACAATTAGGGCTTCGCGATTCCATTTTTTAACTTGTTTTTCGATTTGTTTACTTATCACTTCGCTGTTCTGTTTTCAATAGGTGTTCACCCCCTATAAGGTAATTTCGTCTGCGCGTCTAGTTCATTGTTATCTCAACATTTTAGCTTTGAAGAATGAACTCAATTAGCAGACTTTGCCATTTTCATGGTGGTCTTTTGACTGCCAAGAACAGCCTTCGCCTGCAGGCCCTGGCTTTGCGTGAATTCAAGACTGGAGTGTCCCCCCTCAGGGCTTCGATGCGCTCCAGGATGGCTAGAATTCGTCAACAGGCAGAAAACAGAACGCCATTTTCTCAGACACAGTCTATTTGTGAGTTTTTTTTTCTGCCACTGCTATTGAACGGAGTAGTAGTAGTTGGAAACTTCGCGGCGTTTCTGTTTAACCTCCTTGTTGTAGTTTCTAAAACCCTTCACTTTTCAGAACGTAAATGTATTCACAGAAATATGCCAAGGTAACGGCATTCTCTTCTTGGTTATGTATTTAATGTGATAGGTCAGGGTGTTACTTATGTCTGGAAATCTTTTAGTAAAGGATTCCTCGTTTTAATCATTTTGTCATGTCACGAGTTGATTTTAAGGGTTTTATCGTTGTTGGATGAGAATACCCTCAATGTTCCTGGCAAACTGGACTAAAACTAAAATATAAGCATTCTTGTTGCAAGAAAACACCATCCTTCGTCGTATTTGTCTTATTCACGTCAACTGATTGCTTTAAGCTTGGGAATGTGGCCCATCCTAAGTTGAATGCCCATCGTAAAATCCCCCAAATCCTCACTTAGACGTTACTAACGGCGTCAAGAGCGAATTGTCGCTTGGATTTGCTTGTGGCTTAACTCAGTAGAAAAGGGGAGCTTTTCAGGTGTGTTCTTGGCCTGTCCACTTGGCCTTTTCCTTTCCGCGGATTCGGCGTTTCTGGACCTTCGTTGCATTCACAATCCAGGCCTTGATTACGGGGGCTTCGCCTGGCGCTACGGCAGAGTTTGATCTAGCCTTCTGGTGTAGATTTTCATTATGCATGGGGAGTAATCGAAGCTCTGAATTGTCCACAATCCTTGCCCTAGTGTTAAGCGCATTTTCACACACCCTCAGTCTAAATTAACCGCTTTTGCCGTCCAAAGAGAATTTTTTAGCCAAGTTCCCGTGACCAGTGGAACCCTCAAACCTGTTATCATGCCTATTTGTTCGAGACATTTGAGCACCACATTCCCATTCACAGCCATTGACGCGGGCCGCGCTGTGCTGCTGGGTGGCGCGGCACTGGGTCTCGGCGGTCTGTGTCTCTACGGCGTCTACGGCGCGGGGTCCGGCTCCAGCAGCCTCTCGGCCCTTGACCGCGCCGCTGTCTGGCCCGACTACGTGCGCCAGCGCATCCACTCGGTGTACGCCTACCTGGGCGGTGGCGCGGCTGTTGCCGGCGCCTCGGCTGTCGCTCTCGTGCGCTCACCCGCGTTCATCCGTGTCATGGCTGGCGGTGGACTGCTCGCGCCCCTGGCTATGCTCGCCGCCAGCATCGGTGCTGGCGTTGTTTGCCAGGCAAGTCTCTTCATTGCTCTGTTGGTTGTCCGAAGTTCGTGGTGCATCTTCTTGAGGCACGCCAAGCCGAAAATTAGCCACACTTTGGCAGCTCGTTCAGTTTATCACGCGCAAGTTTACCCTGAGGGTTTTAAAGTGCGTGTGCAGGTCGGTCGCAGGTGGGTGGGTGGGATGTCATGTGACCATGTGCGAGTGATTTACACCGATTTATGTAATCACTTTGACTTTAGAGTGGGTGCGTCTTGTCAGAAAAAAAGCACACTTTGGATAGCAACAGCGTTGATTTCTGGATTTCACATCAGTAGGTACAAACTGGTTCGAATTTATTAGTCCCTTTTTGACTGACGCCTGAGATGTACCTGAATTCTCGAATGGTATCGCCAACGGAGTAGTGTGGTAGTTTCCGAGTGGCCTCTCTTAGTTATGGACCTGTTCAGGGTAAGTGTCGTTGGGACCGAATACCAGTTACAGTACAACCGATCGCATTCAGTGTAATGTTGATCGAACCAGTCGTCATTCTGTACCACGTCTGCCCCCTAGATGATACCATACCCCGTCGACGGCAGCAAGTTCAACACTAAGCACCTCGCGTGGCTGGTGTACGCCGCGAGCCTCGGCGGCATTCTCGCGCCGATTTGCCTAGTCGGCGGACCGATACTCACCCGGGCTGCTCTCTACACCGGCGGCATCGTGGGCGGCCTCTCCGCTGTGGCCATATCTGCCCCGTCGGATCGTTTTCTCACGTGGGGTGGACCTCTCGCTATCGGCCTCGGCGTTGTCTTTGTCTCGTCGCTCGGTGCGTGTTTGTGTGTTTGACTAAGCAGCCTTTCCCTGATTTCTCAGGTTCTTTAAATGCTGCAGGTGGTAACGCTTTCGCAACGTTTTGAACTGTAGGCAGCATGTTTCTCTCACCAATGGGTCGTTTGGGCGCCGGTCTCTATGGCATCAGTCTGTACGGGGGGCTCGTGCTCTTCTCTGGCTTCATGCTCTACGACACACAGATGGTGATTCGCCGCGCGGAACAGCATCCTCCGCCGAACCGCATGATCTACGGATCCCCCGGCTTGGCTACCAGGCCCTTCGATCCAATTAACAAGTAAGGGCTTGAGTGTTGCCTTTAGGACACCTCTTTGTGTTAGTTGGGGGGAGGTGGAGTGCGACTCTCGATGTTTGGGCAACGTTCAGCAGGTTAAGTTCATCAGAGCTCCTGCAATTCCAGGTGAAAGTCAGGTTGCCTAGAGTTCTTCCAAGTGTATTCCTTTGAGGCAATCTGTCAGCCATCCATTCAGCGGCTCCAAGCCCCAACACATGTGTGAGAAGGCCTGAGTGTTGCAGCCTCCAGTAAAGGTCAAATTCACGAAATTGGTGTGTGGTTATTTGGCTAGAGATTATGACCGGTTGCGCAACCGCGTTTGATGTCTTTTTTTCTTGTAGCTCAATTAAAATCCTTTTGGATACGGTCAACATTTTTGTACGGATGGTTGCCATTTTCGCAGGCGGCAACAGCCGCAGGAAGTGAAGGACGTCGCGGACTGCAGCAGACGCCATCAGGGATTGTTTTTCACCCTCAAACCAAGATTTTGTCACTTTGCGTTTTCGTCCTAATTAAATCGCGTCCCTAATTTTCGCCCAGGCTCGCATTGTTGACTTGCTTTTTTCCTCGATGCTTTTTTGCGTTGCGGGTTGCGGTTACCGCCTGTTTTGGATGTGTGTGCGGAGTTGCTTCTTGTGACCTCTTCCCGTGCAGCATCTTCACGGAAACTGTCGTTAATGCTTGCCTCGACCGCATAGGTATCGCCCATAATGGTGGTGGCTGACTTAATGTCTTCAAACAATCTCGATTAAGACGTGACACGATGCTTATCAAGGTTCACTTTGGCGTATTGGTGTAGTTAGCTGCAAATCTGGTATTTACCAGTTTTCGCAGGTATTCAGCATTTGTCCTGCATTTTACACTTTCTATGACTAGATGTCTTTTGTTGGATACTTCCCTAATTTTTGATGGCAATCACAATTAAGGGATTGTGTGGTTCGAGAATTTGTGAACTCAAGTCCGGTTTTACTACTAGTCTCTCGAACTCGTTGTTCCCTGGCGTCACTGTTCTAGGGCCTTGGCATATCAGTTTACGATGTAGCGACTGCCTGCAAATCGGCTGTGTCCTCGTAGTTTACCTTTGAACCGCGACTACACACTGGTGTCTTGGAGTTTCTTGAATAAGCCCAATATTAAAATGAAAATTTCCTTCAAAAAATAATGGCTGGGTGTCTACTTTGAGGTGGGGGAGGCATGAATTAATCGAGTTCGGAGAAATTGAAAAGTTTTACATATCAGACAGACTGCAAAGATACTCTTTTGGGCGTGTTGATTTATCAATAGAAGTAATTATTAAGGCAGTGCTGCACCAACAAGGCTGATTCTACGCTACCCTCTTCTCACATTGCAATACATTATTGGTTATATAAGTACAAATCTGTTGGGGATCCAGCATTCCCCAGGACGGCTCATCGGGGGTTAGGATTTCGTCATTGTATGCACAGTGGGTGGGTCATCCGCGACACCCTACTGACTGCCCTATCCGTGCTAATCCACTTCACTCAACAGGTCACGGTCATCCTTGACTTAAACGTGAGTGAATTCAGCCAGATCACTCGGCCTTTGGCTGAGGCATTAAAAGCTCCCTGCACGAGGCCCTTCCTTGTCTTGCATTAGAATGGGAGGGTGGAGTGGCTGGTGTCTGATGAGGGATCTAGGGTACTGGTTATCTGATGGAGCGTGTCGTATTGGTTAAGGGGAGAACGTGACGAAATATTTTCTTGAAGGAATTTTTTGACCAGTTTTTAAGCGTCGCGTCATTCTTAGGCTTCGACAAGTAGTGCTTTCGTTTGAAAAATGTTTTGCTGTGCTGTTGTGGATTGAAAACCCTAAATTAAACAAGAGCATAATATGAACTCATAAAAATTATGCTAATCCTACTAAAAACACAATTGACCTCAAATTTCCAATTATGGTAAAACAGCAAATCGGAAAAACTGAGTAGCCAATGTTTACAGCAAAAACCTAACAAATTATTGCACAATTTGCGACGTCATTTTAGTGCTTTGATGTAATAGTTAAGAGCATTCAAATAAAAGTCACACAGTTAATGTGTTTAAAGTGAAAAATGCTCTGATTAAATGCTGGGTCCAAGAATTTAAGATATGTTCGACACTGAATAAAAGTGTACTGTTCGTATATATATGCATTTTCATCTGCGCATAGACCCAGGCTTATTAGCAGTGCAAACTTTTTCTGTGATTCGTAAGTAACGTTTGATTGGTTGTATTCACTTCTACCATTTTTAATAGCAGGGTTTATCTGATGACTACGTAAAAATAGTGCCAGTGATATTGAAAAAGGTGAAGAACCGAAAGATTTATTTCATATTTTAATGGCTCATTTTCCCATAATTTAATATTAGCACTCGTTTAATTTTTCGATAAACTGCAAATGATAAAAAGTAAGGTGTAGGATGATTCTCGTTTTACCCCAAATCAAATTTGGACGCTATTTAATTACTAATTGCTCCAACGAATCAATGTTAAGCATGGTAAAGCCATAAAAGCCTAGTTATATTAGCCTGAGCGATCAATCTGTGCTTTGGTTCTTCTTGTGGTTTATAAGTGCAGTTCATTTGATACTGTCACTTGTTGTTGGAACTACTATTAAACCTGAATTATTTCCTTAATGTTTCCTCTTTTACGGGAGGTAAAATATTTGTAAAATATTTTCCTGTTATAGGTTTTAAATTACGTTCACTATTAATCTCACGTCAAATTGTGAATTGATTAACATGTTTTTTGGCTAAGCGTGTAATTTTTTTGGCTTTCGTGAATTAATTAGCTAACAAATTTTTAATGGATATTATTCCCCTATCCACTAGAAAATGAATTTTAACACAGTTACTCTTGAAAACTTGCCTTCGCACATCTTAATACTCTATATGACATATGCTTATGAGTCCAAAATCAGCATACCTAGGATTTTTTGGCATTCGCGTAGGTTCGGCAATTTACTTTGGGCCGTTTCTTCCCGCACTGTCTGCGTATTAATTGTAATCGTCTTCTTAAACCGGTCTGTGAAGTCCTTTATAGTAGACTGTACAAATAAATGCGTCTTTTTCCCATCTAAACGTCTTTTTTGACTACTTTAAGCGCACTTGTGTTAAAAATATTCGTTTCCTTCCATTAGGTATTTCTTTTTAACCTTATAGATTTAATCAACATGCTAATACGGTTGGTTAGTGCCGTCTTAAACCGTTTTCTCGGTCAATACGTAGAGAATCTAGATACCGAACGTCTTTCATACAGCCTTGGCTACCAGGGCAACGTCATCCTTACTGATTTACGTTTAAAAGAAGATGCTCTGAGTCACCTTTTGGGTCTACCCTTACGACTAAAAGCAAGCCATATCGCCCGTGTCAAACTGCACATTCCCCTGACTCAACTTCGATCACAGCCATGGTGCATTACCATCGAGGACGCAGAGTTAGTAGTTTACCCTAACGGTGAGGATGATCATAATGCAACTGCTTCTACTACGTCCGATCTTGGACCCACGGACGAAGCAGATCCTGACGAGATTCTGAGAGTTCGCAGGAGGGCATACTTGGATCGTCTCGAGTCGCGCTGGTGGCAAGTTGTGCAGCAAGGTGGTCTTGTGGGCGCCGCAGGAATCGCATCACCCACTGACTCCTCATGGTGGTCTTATGGCGTCTCCCTTGTCTACGGTATCGTCAGCAACCTCCACGTGGAGATACGCAATATACACTTTTACTTTGTTGATGAAAAAGGAGTGATTACGGGAAACAGAAAACCCTCATTTTCTTGGGGTATCCTACTAGACAGGATGACTGTGCAGGCCACCGATGAAAATTGGGTATGTTCACTTTCGGATGGAGGCTGTAGAGTGCCATTTGGCTCGAATTTTTGCTAACAGTTATCGGTCGTTTTTAGAATCCTTCGAATCGATCATCAGAGCAGCAAATTGAATTCAAATCGATTGATATTGTTGGCCTTAGTGTGTACTGGCTGGAGAAAGTAAGTGCTGTCCCACCATTGCCCCGGTGTTGGATTTTTTCATAAATCGCGATCGATATCCGACTACCTTTTCCCATTCAGTCTGATCGTCAACGACATCACCTGATTCCACCAAGTCAATTTTCAATTCACTTACTCCGTCGCACAACGCCAGAGCCCCTAACAAGTGATGAGACAGCGCGCATCGAAGTTGATGCGAAATTGGAGTCATTGAATCTGGATCTTTCTAAAAGAGCTCTTGGGTTCTCGTACAAATTGATCAAGTACTTTAAAAACCACTTGACTCCTACTCGTCGGCCTAGACTGCGACCGTCTAAACAGTAGGTGTTTGGCACTTTAACTAACCACAAATTCCCCCCAGACCCTCGGCTTGGTGGAGGTACGCGGCGTGCGAGCTGGTGCCTGGTTTGAGGAAGCATCTAAGCCCTCGCCAGACGCTAGATCTGGACCATCTGGCTGACGAAGCCTCGTTGACCAACCGCTACGTACGGGCTTACGAAGCACACCTTCTACAGGGACTTGGGATCACCGCGACAACAGGGGTGGAGGCGTTGGAGTCTTTGGAGGAGCGTATGTCTCTTGAACGTGTTGCGCTTCTTCGCCAGGTTGCTATGCAACGCGCGGCTTGTCAACTGAAACAACATCAACCAATCGTGGTGAGTTTTCGTCAATGGTCCTTCTGGTTCTTGCTATTGCCCGCGTATTTCTCAGGCATATCTGTTGTTTCTACACATTTTCATGCTTATCCCTAAAAATCTATCACGCATTGTCTGGCATTGTAGTTGGGGTGAACTGATTGGCGCACAAATGGATTTTTTGTACCTAAAGGTTAATCGCTGTGTTGTGAAAAAAGTCCCAGTGTACGCTTTGCTCCTAAAACATGAGTTGTGATTTTGTACACTTGACGCAGGAGTCTGTCACTAGAGACTGTGAACAGTGTTATAAATGGCATCGTGACCAACAGCATCAAGCATTATTCCTTGTCTGAAATTCTCATGAAGTTTAAACTCATTTAACTCTCAACTTCCCAGTTTCTGTTCATGTTGATGCAGAATCTCCCCTTGTGACTTGTGAATTTCGTGAATGTAATGACCTATCCTCTCAGTCTGAATCTTCAGAAAATTCAACCCAAAGCAACGTTTATTCTGCTGAGTGTACGACTTAATTTGCGCAGAACTTACAGCAACAAACAAAGAACTTGCTCCTGGGTATAGTGTCCATTGTCTTCAGGTAACGCACGGGTGCCGTCGCGAAAGTAACTTACAGGCTACGAGGCGATAACGCCGTCGAAGGATTTACGCACATTGAACTGTACAAACGGTTGTTGGAAGGGGGGACAAGTCTGGTGAATATGCCACGTGTCGCAGAACTTCGCATCAGTATTTCATGAGGGTCTTCTGAGTCGCTAAGCAAGCAACGTGAGGTGGTCGAGCGTTGTCAAGTAGGCGCAGCTGTAGCATGAATTGTCTGCTTCCTTGCCCAGTAAATGGCCTTTTCTGATCAAGCTCTTTGCTCACTTTGTTCAACTGTCGGCTGTACCGTTGCGCAGTCACCGTCTGACGACCAGTTTCCAGTCGTTTGTAGTAAAGTACTCTCTTCACGTCCCGCCACTTTCTTCAAGTTGATGTCCTGGGTCGCCTGCGATCTACCCACGATTCTACGTTTGGAATTCTTGGGACAATAAATGCACTCTTCATCGCTCCTCACAATTTCCCACAGGAAGTCATTTTTTGCCGGCGGGCAAGCAGTGAAAGGCACGTGCTCATACGTTGACTTAGGATGTGTTCGGTCAGCACATGTGGGGAGGGGAGCCAAACTTTGAAAATTTTCCCATTTGATGGTCCTAACGCCTTGAAATAGCTCCTTGGGTGATAAGTGACTGTGCTGCTACAAGCCGCTGTTGCGCTGGCGTTGAGTCTTCATTCAATAGAGCCTGCAGCTCCGCATCTTTAAACTTTCCAGAGCGCGGTATTTGTTCTATTTTTAATCTCGAGGAAAGAAGGCGCAAAAATTAGGTCATACATCTAGCACACACAGACCCGCATCAATTTTGTTGCAATGCCGGCGCATTACAGAGGCGAGAACGCAACCAACCGCCCGCGAACCCACCGTCACAGTCCTGGTGGCCGAGCTTCCTTTCTGCGGGTGCTGCCACCACCACCTCGGCGTCGCCTCCACCTGAGTCCGCCGACGACGAAGGCGACGCGCCGAGGCCCTGGCGCCTCTGGTGGTGGTTCTCCGCTGCGCCACCTGTCGAGAAGTGCGCGGAGGAGAAGGTGGACACGACCAACTCCGAGGCCGCCCTCATGCTGCTCAACGAGCTTGTCGCTGCCCAGGACGTCGGACAGGTGCTCACACGCGACCGTCTCTTCTGCAAGGTCACCTGCTGCGTCGACCGGTTTCGCATGGCGCTGGACGATCAGGCCGTGAGTTGGTGGTTGCTGGTTTTTGTCTTGGGGTCTCTTTGTTCATGGCTCATCTTCTCAGGGATACCATCTTTTGAAGTGTGTTTGTGTGGCAGTGGTTTCGGTGAATGGCGTCACGAGGACCTTCTAAGGTGTTCTTACAACGCCACCATCAACCTAGTTGCCAACGGGTTTTGACGGGTGTGAGGTGAACACGTCATAAGTAGACCTGACAAGGCTTGCGTGTGGTCCATGTTCGAGTCCCGTTGCTTCCACTCTCTTGTTTAGTTGTCCAATCACACTTACCGAAACCAACTCCTACATGGACGCGCGGTGTTGTCGTCCATTAACTTCGACGCGAACCACGTCTGTTTAATCATTGGTCAATGTAAAGGCGTCAAAATGTAATTCTCAGAAAAAAAAAAGTACCACAAAGCACTCCTAACCCACTCGCTGTTTAGCCGCTCTGCAGCTTGACCGCGGACGATCTTCGTCTCCAGATGGAAACACGTCCGCGCCAGGAGTCGCTGCTCTTCAACGCCAGCTTGCACTCCCTCGTGGTGAGCGACGAACGCACCCGTCTAGGGGGACGTGTGCAGCCCCTTTTCCCAGCCGTCATATCCCCCCAACCAACCTCAGGTGAGAGGCCCTCCGATTCCACTGCGGACCTCTTTTGGCTGGAATATGCCACTGGACAACCCGCGTCCGAAACTCCTGCAAGGTACCTTGAATGCGCTTCTCTTGGGGAAAATTGTTGGCGAATGAACCAAAATTAAACAAAATTTTAATTGGTTGCTATGGGATGCGTAACGTTGCTACCATCACTACGACGCTTAGTGTGTGGGTTAGTGGTTCTCGTAAGCCGTCTGTTATGACCAAAGTCGGGGTTGTAGATTGTATAAACCTTGTATAAACCAATACACCGCGCTCAGAGAGCCAATGCGTAAACCGCACGTTTGCAGTGCCAGACCAAAGACACGACCCTGTAGAACGAACGTTTACTCTCAGCCAAAGGCCGAGCAACGTGTCGAAATGCTTTTGGGTGACCTTGACCCGATAGGAGCTGTCTGTGATTGGTTGAAGTCCCCGCTACCTTCGATGTGGGTTGCTTATCGATGCCTAATTAGGCGTCTCTTGGTCTGCATTCACTGTCTTCTTGTCTCCGCAGTTTGCGAATACGAACAGCCCCGCTGCGCGTCATCTGTCAGCCCGAGCTCTTCAACGAGGCCGTGAAGTTCTTCGAGGCCGCTTCCAGTGGATTCTCCAACCAAGCATCGGGTACGCCCACCACCTATCTGCCTGTCGTGTCTCACTGGCGCAATCGAACCAGCCTCAGTGGACTTTGTTCGCTCCTTTTTTTACATAGTAATTTGCGATTTACGGCCCATGGTGTGTTGGAGTTGATTTCTCAAGTCTAGCCTGACTCACTTCTGCGTAGTGCTCAAGTGCTTGTGTGAGTGTGTGTGTAAGCCGTCTGACGATGGCGTGTCGTCTCACGACGGTTCGGTGTATTATGTTTTTAAGGTGACTGACTTAATTTCTTGCAGATTTTTTCATCGAGCCTACATTTATACTGAAAGTGGAAATGTTTTGGCGGTCTTTTTTGTGGTTTTTAAATCGACAAGTCTGCGTGATTTACATAACCCTCTACGATGACAGAGTAGGTGGTGATTACTGGTGGTAGCAGCAGCAGCAGCAGCAGCAGTAGCAGCAGCAGCAGCAGTAGCAGCAGCAGCAGCACACTCGATGGCATTGCGAATTCCAGCGAGGCAAAATGCTACCAAAGCACAGTGGGAATCGATTGGTAGTGTTCTTGGTGCCGGCGTTGTGTCTTGTGAAACTGGTACAAACGCTTTGGAAGCAGTGATTTCAATCTTAGTGACCAGCCGCGCTCCGGACGGTAGCCTTGAAAGTTTGGCGGTGCGGAATCGTAAACCCTACTGGATGAAGACTCAACGCAAATATGAAAAATTCAAACTTTGCGGGTTGCACTCTTACGAATTCCTGGAAAGTGTTCGTCAGACGGTAGCTGCTCAACGCTACAGTCGACAGCTAAAGGAATTCAGCGAAGAACTTGATTAGAAAAGGCCATTTACTGGGGAAGGAAGCAGGCAAGTCACACTGCTGCTGTTGCAGGACAACACTCTACCACAAGTGGCATAAACAGTTCCCAAAACGCTTCACGATGTGCGTAAATTCGTCGGTGATGACTTTGTTGCCTCGAAGTCTACAAGTTTCTTCCACGACAACATTCGTACATAACGTGAGAGATGGCGTAAGGTCATGGCGAACGATGGACACTGTTTCCAAGATTAACTTCGTTGTTCTCAATTTGCATAAATTTGTTGAAAAATCTGTAAAAAATTAAGTCATACACCACGGTACTCGATTCTGCTATTTCGCTAGCCCATTTAAACCCTCAGGAGACGCGGACTAGTGGCTCGTGTCCTGCTGCGTCGTCTACTTCGACGCCTCGGGGTGTCGAATTCAGTGCGTGTTTGATTTTAAAGCCTTAGGTCGAGTCCAGGAGAGTGCCTACGACACCATCAAGTCACAGACGAAGGCCAATTTGCGCGCAGCACTGCACAACGTGGAGGCCGCAGACGAGTTGCAGCAGGGGCTGGATTTCGGCAGACCAGAGTCCCCCAGTGCGAGGCGTGGAGCTCCGCCGTCCACCGCGCCGAGTCTGAGTCTGCACCTCGACATCGCCGCACCACGAATCCTGCTCCCAGAACGCCTCTGGCCGACGCCGCAGGAGGAGGTGGCAGAGGCTGCGTGTGGACCACCACCCAGCCTGCTTGGAGTTATTTGTGATTTCGGGCGCTTTCGGCTCTCCAACTGGGACGCGGAGTCGATTTCCACCGGCGAAGTAAGTCGTCGTCGTTAGCCTCCCTAGTTTCCCTCCCCCCCGCTTCGTCTTTCATTGCGTTTTTGTTTTGAACGCGTTCCAGGCGGAAGAAAAGGCAAAAGCTCCAGCCAGGAGCGTTGACTCCGTTGGTGAGGAAGATGATGACACCGAAGAAGATGAATCAGATGCCTTTGAAACGCCCTGTGGAACTCCGGTTGCCTCGGACTCGGAGTCTGTGTAAGTTTTGTCAGGGGCATCCGCCTCCCATTGCATTGCCGTCTCTCATTAGTGCAGTCAATCAATTAAGCGAAATCCCTCGCTCCACCACCACCACCACCACCGCCGCCGCCGCCGCCACCGCCACCACCACATCACATCGCAGACAAACACATGACCCCGTGCGCAGGGCTTTTATTGTCTCAGCCAACGAGTAGATAGAACGATTTGTGCATGCCGTGGGCGACTTTGATTAGACGAATCAAGTAGGCTCAACCGAATGTAGTGAGATGTGATTGGCGACTGGCAACCTTCCCAACACTAACCCACACCAAAAGTGATGCAGACAAGTGTCTATTAGTTGTGTTGTTGCTGTGTCCGTGGCAAAGTTAATTATGAGCGGTGTGGGTTGTCGTGGCGTCTTGTGATCGATGCATAATTTCGAAAACTACTTCCAAGTAAGGATAGGATCGCCAGCGTTTCGCTATTGGTGGCACCTATTAAGCCTAGTTAATGCGCCAGTTCATGCAGTTATGAGGTTCAAGGTCGACGTTTCGATCGCGGACATTTCAAATCAAGGCAAAAGTTCATCCAGTGAGGGAATTTTCATCGAGCTACAACGTCGTCCTGTTCTGAACGCGACCTTGGAGAGAGGTAGTGGGCTGAAACAGTGTGCTCCTGGTATCAGCCATTTGGTTTTGTGACAACAGCTCGACGAATGTCGTACCTTGTTTCTATACATTTTACGCCGATTCGACTAATGTCTGCCTAAACAAGAAATCGCCAAAGTATGCTTAACCGTTCGTTGGTTTTCGGCTGAAACGTTAAACTCAACACGCAACGGTGATCATCTCTAGTTGACCCTGTGAGCCACCTTGACACGCCGTTTGACCAGGTTGAAATTATGAAACCAGTTGTAGCCCAATCTGCGGCTCGGTATGAAACACACAACCATTTCTTTCGACACGCGTCTCATATTTCCCTTGAGAAAATCGTGGGGCTTGCGATAGTGGTGTGGTGGTTTTGACAAGTTGCACTTTTAAGCACGCACACACGTATTTTGTGTGTGTGTGTGTGTGTTAGTTTTAAGCAAGAGCTTACCTTCTTAAGGCCATCGCCCACTGTTGCACACAAACGAAGGCTCTCTCTCCACAGACGCCGTCCGCCGTTTCAGCGCCAACGACGCAGGCTCTACGAAACATACCTCCTTGAATTGGACCAACTGCGCATCCTCGCGGGCCGCCTCGACGTGCTCCAAGCCTCAGCATTTTGGCCTGACTTGCTGTCGAAAGGGTCAATTCCATCAGGAGGTGGGCACAACTTCGCTTGCTGTTCTCTTGTTTTCTCCGGCGACATGATGACTCACCGTTCCGCTTGCTATTTCAGCCAATCGTCTGCACGCCTCGGTGGTCGCCTCTCAGGCTCACCTCGTGGACCGCTTCAGTCTGGCGATCTGGATCACGCGTCGAGTAGTTCGCATGGCCGACATACCATCAAAGACGAGTCTTTCCAATTTCACCATACCTCCCGGTGTTCCCAGCGACCTGCCGGGTCTCCTTGTGTGTCTGGAGCAGCGCCAGTGCGTGCTCCGCCTGTCCGATGTCAAGGTTGCCGCCATTCGAAGGTGTCTCGCCGCGGTCGCCTCAGCGTCGACAGAGAAAAGTGAAGCGTGCGATTCGCGACCGCGACCACAAGCCCCGCCAGGGCGGTTACGCCACTCGTCAACTCTTCAACGACGCCATCGACAACGATGCGTCTCTGCGGGGGGCACGTCTTCACCGAGACGGACCATATTACTCACCTTCAGGATGTCGGAGCTCATTCTGCAGCTCGACTCGCGAGGCAGGTCTAGTCGTCTCGATTTGTTACCTCTCTTGTCCGGCTTACCGTGCGCTTGCATGCTTCCTCCACAGGTCGTCCACTGGCTGAATGTCGTCTGGGCTCAACTGCTGCGCGATTCGCCCGTTCCAAAGACGCCGATCACAGCCTCACACGCTACGACATGTGTATGCAGGTCCATAGCCTCACCGTCGCTGACGCTCTTTGTGGTCTTGGAGGGGACTTTGACCTCCTGGCGGCGTCTCACCGCGGTGTCCGGTACGCGCCTCGGTTAAATGTTTATTACTGGCTGATCTTTCCGTGTTCACCACTTTTGTTGCACTTTGCGTAGATTGGACACGCTGTCCGGCAACTTAAACGTCACGTCTACGCCAAGGAGTGAGCAGTCCTCGCCGAGAGTTCACCTGCCCAGCCAATCACAACCTGCCAGCACTCCACAGCCGTTTCTTGACTCCATCGACGACGATACAGGTTGGTGTTTCTTGTCGCGAATCGCGCTCTCGTTCTCTTGTTTTTCTTTCGCCTTCTTTTCAAACGCTCTAAAACCATTTAGGTTCCTCAACCGCGCTTATTCGCGTGGATTATTCCCGGTCGTGCATCACGTCAGAAACTGCCGTCTCCCAGCAGAACTCGAGACGAATGGACGTCAAGTTCCGCCATCTGGATCTTCTTGGTAAGTTGTGCAGACAACGCCGGAGTCTTCGCCTGTCCACCATTGTCCCCATCCAACGCCAGGTCAAGCGTGTAAGCTACGCGCGTTTGGTGATCCCATCTGAATTTACCTCTTGCAGGCAACCTAAACACACTGCTAGAACTCATCTCCTTCGTGCGATACGTCACACCGGAGAGTGAAACCACGACGACATTGAGCTCCGCGTCTTCGGCCAACCCATCATCAGAATCTCCGGACACTAATTCAACCGTAATTGACAACAGTAGTAGTCTCGAGATGTCGATTAGCGTTGAACGTCTTAGTCTCGTTCTAATCCATGTCACTGAGCTTCCAAAGCCTCACCACCAGATGGACTGGGATGAAGACGAGAGGACAAAGACGTCGCCACCACAGGCCACCGCCGAACGTCTAGCAACCATCACCTTGCTCGGCGCGCTCTTCAAGTCACATGCCAGTAAGCCCTGTTGACCAATTGTGGAGCATCTTTCCCAAACGGCTCTTTTCATTGGCTCCCTTGCCCTCCCCAAGGTCGCGGCCTGACTCAACGCTTCGAAGTTAGCCTCGCCGGACTGCAGGTGCTCGATCTCATGGGCGTGGGTGACGCGTCATTGTCCGGCCCGCAGCACCGCCACATTTTCGCTGCCGGCCAGTGTCTAGACCCCGAACTGCCCGACGACTTCGCCTCGGTCGGACAGAAACCCGTCTTCACTGTGTCCGCTAACCGAGAGGCCTGTTTACTGGGCTATCACATTAGGGTGGGCATTCATTCATTCATTCATTCTTGTCAACAGTTCTCCGACTCGGGAAGATTTTGTTTACCACCGTCTTTCTGCGACCCTCAGGCGGAGGTTTCCAGTCCTGTCTACGTGCACAAGCCTCGCACTCTGCACGAAATCTCCTCGTGGTTCTCCCGCCTCTACCACTGGACCGCGGTGGTGGGAGTGCTTGCTCAGAAGCTCAAAAATGTCGCCACGCGACAGGTCGTGGAGGCTCCGGCGGCGTCGCCGTTCGCCAGCTTCCGAGCGACCTTCGAACAGCCGGTTGTGGTGTTCCCCGCCGCCGCGACCTCCGCTCGCGTCCTCATCGCCCGCCTCGGCCGACTCACTCTGACCAGCAGCGGACCCCATCTGGTGGAGCTGTCGGTGGCCCGAGCGAGTCTTGCTTCGCTCGATGTCGTCGAAGGCATCCCGCTTGTGCGCGGCACCTCGCAGACCGTGAAAGCCATGCTCACGCTTGCTCATTACCTCGGTCTGGTCACCTCGGCGGCAGAAGTCGCCGTGCTGGAGGACATCTCCGCTGACCTCCATGTATGCAACACTTGCGTTGAATTTCCAGCATTCCTACTGTCTGAGGTTCCCCTCGCATTTTCAGGAGTCACCTGATCATCTGATTTATGTGATCTCACGCCCCAGACATGTTGTTTGTACGGACTTCGGTTCAAATCGCTGTGGTGGCTTGTCTATTTAATTAGCTTACAAGTTTCGAGTACGAATCACTGCTCCTTACCGATGGAGCAACCCACTTAGTCTGCTGCTTTCGTATTGGTTACTTACCAGCAGGAACCAATCAGAAAGCAGGTTCTCCCATTGCCACAACATCCAATTAGATTCGTGATGTGACGCGGATATTGGTTTTACGCGGTGTAGTTGTGCAGGCTGTATGATGTAATTCTCCCCGCCCCACTTTCTCCCTAGTTATCGCGTCAGACAACACCAAGGAGTTGGTCACAGTCCACGAACCCCGGCGTGTTTGATTGGCCGGCTGGCTTTGACGCGGAGGCACCGTTAATTCCGTTCGCGGACACCGATCCTGTGTTGATCGCAGGGCCTTCGAAGGAAACCTGGGTTATGGTCGAGGCTTGCCTTGTTCAGCCTTTGCACGTGTGCCTCACCAAGATCGTCTACCAACAACTCCTACAAACCCTGGATAACCTCACATACGACGACGACGACGACGACGCCGACGGTGGCTACAGTGATGGTCATTGTGCGGCGTCTTCTGCAGCAGAACTGACGGAGGTATGTCAAGTTGTGTCTTCTCTGTACTTGGCGTGGCGCATTTGCTAATATTTGTTGGCATTTTCCCTCGACAGAGCCACAGAGCCGCTGAGGGCTTCTACGACGACGACTCCTCCTGGCGACCGCAGGCCACCCCGCTCTTCGCGGTGCGCTTCAGGATGCCCTACCTGGTGGTGGAAACGTTCGCTGACATGAGCGGTGAGGCGCAGCCCGTCGGCCTGACGCGTCTCACTCTAGCCGACTTCTTCATCACCGCCTCGAAGTCTCCTCGCCTCGTCGGAGGTCTGACGCGCATTGAAGCGAGCCTTGCCAGTCTGTTGTTGGAGAACATGTTGCCCGGCGACGCGGCTTTAGGTAGGCCTCTCCCCTCCCTACATTTCACATCTTTCTCCTATTACGGTCAATCTGACGCTACTGTGCCCTGTAGATGGCACCAACGAGAATCGTTACCTCCTCTTCTCTCACCAGTCTCCATCATCATCAATGGAACGTCGTGGAAGGCTTCGACGTCAGCGTCGTCTGGCCGATTCTTGTCCAGACGTTCGTGGGACACCTTTCAAAGCGTTTTTCCAGCACAAGACAACAGGCGTCGCCGAGCGCTTCCGAGGCCCACGATGGAGGAACACCCAGTCCTTCACGGACCCCCGTTCTGTCGGCGAAGAGGTCGTAGCGAAGAGGGGCGCAGGATTGAGGCTGAGTAGCAAGCGAAGGGTGCGTAGCAGGGCAAACGAGCGTTTCGAGTTAACACGGATTGATGATTCTCTCTGTCCACTTTTAGCGTTCTGCGTCGATGGACGCCGGCGGACAGGTTTGTGCACCGACGAGAGTCGGCGCCGCCGGGGCCGTGGGTGGACGACAGTTTGTTCGGATTCGTGTGCTCCTGGTGGACCAAGGCAGCCCCCTCTTCTCCACAAAATACCAATCTGTAGGTTGAGTTCTTAATCAACCTGGGCTGCTAGCCAGTGACACACTAGTTGACGTTTTCTTGATCGTTGATTGGATGGCTCAAGGTAATAAAGTGACCTCTCTCGAACGTTGATTGGATGGCTCAACTCAGATGAGTTTTGATGCCTTTACTGTTCATATTACTTTGTACACACATCAAAGCGGCTGGTTTGTTTGTGTACATCAGGTGGGGAAGCGTGATTCAGTGGTAAAGTTCCTAGCCTGAAAGGTTCGCCAAAACCACTCGCTCATTCATGGACTTTCTTGCCGTATGTCCAAGGTCATCGGTTTGGCTCTAATCCATGGTAAATCGTGTGTGTCAAGGTCATTGTTAATCCATTTAAACGCTAATCGATCTCGAACAACACACCATGGTGATCCTTCAACACCTACACACGTCTAGTAACCGCTGAAGCCATTTCCATTTTGCGCAATTGTTGAAATAGCTTTGAAAACACCACCAAGTCCCACATGGATGAACTTTGGGGGTTGATTTCTTCCTTTAGAAGCGGCGGTTCGTCGATGTTGACTTCTCCTCACTCACCTGTTACCTCAGTCTCCACCCGTGGGTGCTTCTTCTTGATTTCCTCAGCGTCGGCTCACCCATCACAGCCTGTGACGAATTCGACATTGAACCGGTCACGAAATCGCGCGCAAAACTAGGTAGTGGGTGGTGCATGTACTACTTAAATTCTGTTAGTAGTAATGTCATTCAACCAATTATCATTATGGCAGACGAGGTGGACAAGGCCATGCAGACTGGTGGTGACTACGAGACTACAGTGACGACACTCAACGTCTCCGAATTCTCCCTCCTTCTCGACACCGCTGTGGATAGATCTCAACCACCTGAGCACCTGCTCCGTGCTTCAGCCGCATCGCTGCACCTTCACTTGACCAATTATAGTCGTCCTATCGCCGCTGGTGGTGATTGGATGTACCTTGACGGTCGTCTTGGTGAAGTGTTGGTGAGTGGCTCTAAGGTGTACGAAATCTCGAATCGTCGTTCACGCCCGTATCATACGATTGGCTGAACAGTGACCAATAAAAATCGAGAGAGTGGTCTACAGGAACCAATCAGTTTGAACCAAACCTCGATTGATTCCAACATCGAGTCCCACTAAATCTTAATTAAATCCACTTTAGGTTGAGGACTTGTCGCACACGGGCAAGCTCTATGGGCAGCGGTTCGTTACCACACCGTCGAGGGTTGGCGGCAGCGATAGCAACGAGAACGTCGGCTTCCTGTCCTTCCGCCTCACCAAGTACCAGTTGCCCGACCCCGAACTGTCTCGTAGGACGGAAGACGGCGTGTTGCGCCTGAGATTGGGTCCGGCGTACTACGTTCACACCCAGGACTTCCTCGTCACCTCAATCGATACCCTGGACCGCTTCCTGCAGTATCAGGACCTCATGAATCGCGTGAGGGCTTCGTCTGCAGGCTACAAGGCACGCACACCGCGCAACTATGTCGCTTTCTCTCTTCTCCTTTTCCCCCCACGTGTCATTTAACTCTTCCTTTGTCTGTCAGGTACGTCAACGCGCGCCGCTGTCAATGCGTCTCCGCTTGGACGTGGAAGCTCAGGCGCCGATTGTCGTGCTTCCGGTTTCTGCTGCCAGCGACGCTGCTCTCGTCTGCGACCTCGGAACCCTCACTGCGGTCAACGATTTCGTCTGGCACGACGACCCCAACATCGCCGATGATGAGGATGATGTCAAGGTAGCCGGTGGAGACTTTGAGGTGGAGAAGCAGCGGTGCAAGTACTGCGCCGAGAACTAGTGAGTGTGTTCTGCATCCTCACAGCCTTCAGCCCACTCTGCGTGCTTTGTAGAAGTGTATTTTTGGTGAATTCGACGTTTCGTGGTCTTGCACCTTGTCGAACTCTCTTTTTCCCCCTTTAGTGAGGAAGGTAGAGAACTCGGCCAAGACGACTTAATGACACAAAGCCACTGTCCAACGATGACGTCGTCAACAGGTTCGATTGGTGCTGTTCGCGTGTCCTTTGAAGGCATTTGAGCCTACTCTGACCACGCCTTTTTTGATTCTGTTCCGTAGAATCGCTCGGCACCGACGCGGAATCGGATGAGTCACCTTGCTTGCTCGATCGAATCCAGCTGACTCTCAACCACATCGAAGTCTACCTGGGGAAACGCCACGACGCCGACGGTAGGCCTCCGTAATGTCGTGCGGTTTCTCACGAAGTTTCCGTCTTTAGCCGATGGAGGCCTCTAGCAAGTCGACGATCACGTTTCGTGTGTTTGCCTTGCAGCTGAAGTCGTCGGTCGCGGGGTGCATTTCCGATGGTTCTCGATCCTGCCTGCCTCGCAGTCGCTCTTGACTGAGCCCTTTGGGCTCAGCGTGCGCGTGGAGCGGAACCTCTCAAGCGGTCGGCGTCAGCACGCCGCGCCAGACTGGCGTCTCTCGGCCCGTCTCCGTCTGCTCTCCCCTCTCCACCTCTCTCTGGACGACTACGCTCTCCTCCGCGGCGTCCTTTCCCACAATCTGGCCTCATCTCCGCCGGCGCAACCATCCACCAATCAGCTGCCGCCACCTCATAATGCTAGTCCCGTAAGCGTCGAAGACGATTAATAGTTGACAGTAACACCCATGTCAACCGATACTTAGAATCAATAGTTTATCCACCCGTTAGGCATGATGTATCATTGTGTGCGTGAGTGTGAAAATCGACCAATGAAAAGTTGGGATTAATGGCCAGCTACCAATCAGATTGAGGTACTCAGAGTGCTGCAGTTTAAGTGGGTAGATTCTCACAATTTACTATTACCTTATCGGCGTTCAGACTCGGGAGCCGTCTTACACCCGGAAACCGCACAAGGTCTTTGCCTTCAGCTTTGACCTTGAGGACGTGGCCATCTGTATGGCCGTGCCCAGCGATTGGCCGTCGTTGCATCAAACTACGGGGGATTCGCAGTCGCGCGCGTTTTGTCGCCTGGACCTCACGCGTTCACGACTCACCTACGACAGCTTCTCCTGCGGTCGTCGTGTCACCGATCTGTCATGCTCGGCTGCCACCTTCACGGACACACGTTTCACCGGTTAGTCGTGTCGCCTTCAAGAGTCACCAGGTCATTTTCGTGGCGAGATACAAGGCTCTACGGTGTGTTGTAGGGTGTGCGCAACCGCAGAACCTCTTCCCAAGCATTCTGTCAGCACTTACCACGCAGGAGTCGCCGAATTTGTCGCCGCAGTTCCGCGTGACCCAGGTGGTGGCGCCTTCGAACGGCAACGCCACGCATCCCTCCAACTCCTCCTGCATGACCTTCCACCTTCGCTCGATGCGCCTCATGCTCGCGCTGGACTGGCTTGTCGATCTGCACAGGTTCCTCACCCACCCCCCACTCGGCCCATCTTCACTCGGCTCCAGCACCAAGTCAGTGTTCTCTAATATTTACACATGCTCAGTGGCTAGTAAAGTGTCACACTTGGTTTTGTGAAGACTAGTTATTAATTCAACAATCTGTGATTAATCCACAGCTCACTGCGGCGGTCTTCAACCAATGCGACAACAGACAGCTGTCTGATGGAGGAAAATGCCCCACAGCAACCGCAAGGCACTTCAGATCTTCGAATCTTCACTGAGCAAACGGAATTCGTCATCATGGAGAACCCAGCCGAGTTAGACACGAACACGGTTGTGCTCACAGTGAGTCTTCACTTGGTAAACCCTGGTTTCTAGTTTGTTTTTATCAAACACCTGCACATGGGCTCTTCCTATTGGCCGTCTCTGGCCAATGCCATTGGCTCCTCGACCATGATTGGCTGATTACACACGATGAATTAATGATCTCTCCTAGGGGGCAATGTGTTTCCTGCTGCGATCGGGTGGGCTTCTGAGCCAGTCTTTGATGGTCCTCTGTCTCCACGGTGTTGGTGTGCACACGTTCGCGGGGTGTGTGGACAGTCGTGCGGTTATTATCGAACCGACTGACCTTGAGGTCCTCGTAACCCCCCCACCGCCCTCTCCCCGCGTCCACCACCAGCACAGCTCCCGCTCCTCCTCCTGCACCGGACTTCAGGTGCGTGCTCTCATTGGTAGTCGATTTTTTTCGCGTTATTGCTCTGGAAAGCCCAATTTTGTTTGTGTCATTATCACTAGGAGTTGGTGTCACCGCGAGCTAGCCTAGTAGTGCGAACCTCAACGCTTCGCACTCACTTCTCATACACCGACAGTCAGCTCTTCGTGGCGCTGCTGGATTCGCTCAGGGAGCAGGCCGCGTTCGCCTTCGGTTCCTCCGGTGAGTTCAAATTTGGCGCCGGACGTTGCTGTGGTGTGTTGTGCTCAATGTCGCGTTCTCATTGGCTACTCGTGTTTTACAGCAGGTCGCGACGCAGACTGCGTTGCGTCCGCCACGCTTGAGGCGCCACCACCACCACCACCACCACCGGAGTCTCGCGCGGTCCTCTGGCTGCGCCATCTCGTCGAACACCTCACTCCACACATCTCAAGCGTCGACGTGCGTCTCCAACTCCTCTTCTTTCACGCTTGCGTCTTCCAGACAACAGCTACATCTGTCTTTTTCTGCATCTGTTTTTTTTTAGTTCCAATCGGCGTTTTCGCTGTGTCTCATCGACGACTGCCTCGACGCTGACGTCCCATTGGCTGAAATCGTTGTGTCAGGTACATTTAGCCTTATTCACGGCGATCCACGTAACCAATCAACGCTTGGTGTCAGTACAGATGGTGTAGTGCTTCATCTTGTGGTCTTGTTAAGTCACTGAACGCGTATGTCTTGTTAGTTCGTGACTAAAACTGGATGCTTGTTCCGTTTCCGGTACATGTATGCAAACTCCGAGCGCGGATAATCGAACACAACTTTGTTGGCACACGATGGGCTTCTCACATGCGCTCTCCTATGCACGGTGCACGGGCCAATAGGAAGAAGGAGGGCAATGTGAATTCGAAATTTGGTGTGCGTAAACCGCAGTAGATAGTGAAAAATTAGCATACGCGCCAACTTTCTTAAAAGTAAATTGTCAGGCACAGGTGGGCGTCGTACTAGTGACTCGAACGCAATCTGCTAACTTGGTTAACTGAAACGAAATTCGCCATCTGCAGTTCATGTGTGTACAATTTTGTCCGAAATTCACTGATACGCTGTAAGACAACGCAAACGTCAAAAAATTTAAATTTGAATTGGCGCCCAGCGGGTGAATTAGGTTAGTAAAACAACTAGAGAAACAAATTAGTTTGGTTTCGATTTGGTGCTCGATATTTGAAACATCTGAATTATCGCCCCACGAGCTCTACAGGTGGGTAACAGAGGCTTCTACGTGTGTCCGTCTTCTTGCGCAGACATTTCGCTCAAGTGGAAGTTGACGGG